CAAGGGAGAGATGGGAGAGAAGATGGGCAGAGACAGGGGGACTAAAAGTGGGGTCACAGGGGGAAAAGGAGAGAAAAAGAAAAAGAAAGTGGGTGCCCAGCCTGGTCCATCCAAGAGGCTTGTGTCTGCCCCTGGAGGAGGAAAGTTGGGGAGGGGGGGTCCTCTCTCAAAGGGGCTGAGCCTGCCACCTCCAGACCCAGAGGAACTGTAAACTCTTAAGCAAGCTGGCAGTGGGGGGCTGAGGGAGAGAGGCCGCAGAGCTGGGGATGGGGGAGTGGAAGGGGGATAAAGCACCCCCATGTGGGCAGAAGTCCCACTGGGGTTCAGGATCAGAGTTTGGGGTAGCACGGAGTGTTCATGTGGGGTGAGGGCGTGGAAGCTGCCACTTGCGGGAGGAACCGGGCACCTAGAGACTCCCCACAGTGCTGCTACCTTGGGATCCCCACAAGGAAGTCAAGTACCCAGTCCACAAAAGGGAATTGGAGCCCTAGGGGACACCTAGTCAGTTTCAAAGCTTGTCAAGTTTTTAAAAAAGCCGGGATCCTGCGCGCGCCCCCATCCCCCTCATGGGTCAAGAACGGCCATTTCTACACAGCCAGGCGACCAGACAGTCCCTCCAGGGTAAAGGTCCATGTATTGACCGATCCCCTAGGAAACGTCTTAATGAGGCCTCAGACCCCTGGAGAAACACGGATGTCCTTGTGTCAACAGAGTTCCCAGCTGAGCAACACCTCCGCCCGAAAAAGGCTCCGTGGCAAACGGGGTGAAAGTTTAAGAGGGAATAAGCGTGTAATAGTCCCTCACCAGACCTCACACATACCAGAGGGGAATATTTACAGCAAAGTTGCCAAAGTAAACGACCCCGCCTACCCGCCATTCCTTCCCTCACCTCCCCCCTTTTTTGTAAACTTCAGATAAACACCATTCGGTCACAAAAGGGTCGCTTTGCCCCTTTACAGTGTGAGGCAGGCGGTGCCATGGGGAAGGCGAGGACCTGGCCGGGCGGCCCCGCCAGGCTTGAAGAGCGCGAGTGTCTCAGCTCATCTGGGGCCTGGGCTGCTGGCAGTTTTTTGGTTTTGCACGTGCCTGTGTGCGCCACACGAAATTTCTGGAGAGACTCCTGCTTCTCCCTCATTGAACATCAGCACACGCTCCACTCCTGTGCCTTAAACGCTGCAGGCACCACGGAGATGGAGAGGTTTTTTAAAAATAAAAATTCAGGCCTATAATGAAGTGAAAATTCCTTTTGCGAAAACCGGAAAAATATTTGGGGGACAAGAGAGAAGGTTGGGGTCTTCTCTATCCAAAATGGGGCCCCCGCTTTTCCCTCTCTTAAGCTTTGCTTTTCTTGCTGCAGAAAGACAGGCACATGCAAGGTTTCCTGGGCGCCTTTTGTTGAGCAAGGGGAGGGGGGAGAGAAAATCGAGGGGGTCTACAAAAGGGGTGTGTGGGGGGGGCAGGAGATCATGCAGAGTTCGCCTGTGCAGCCTGAAGCTCCCACCCAGGGCGCGCGGGCCTCGAGGGTTCTCCTGGCGGCCAGGCCCGGCCCAGGTCGGCAGAACGCGCGAGCCAATGTTTAACTCGAAAGCGGTGGCCACCAGGCCGCTTTTGTTTGTTCGCAAATTAATCACCCAGCGCATGGCCGGCGCCAGAGTGGGTTTATCACCCACCGGGAGGGGGGCGCGACGGCCTCGCAGAGACAAAGAGAAGTTCGCACCTTCCCGCTTTTGATCCCCAGTTCCCGCGGCCTCGCTGCAGAATACGAGCCTCCCGGGGCCGAGCCTGGGAGGTCAGGCATAATTGGCGGAAGTTTGCAGACCATTAGCAAGACGTGGACATTTTCGATTCAGAACCCCGCAAACTTTCCTCGCTCCCCACCTCGCGCGCTAGAGTGGGAGTAGGGGGTCAGGAGTGGCCACGGGGGTGACCCCAGGGGTATGTTGGAGCAACAGACGAAAATAGGCAATCGAGGGCGGGGGCAGAAATCCCGCTGCGTCCACGGTGGGGCCACAGCGAGTGGGGAGATTTCCAAGTGCAATCAGCGAGCCGCCCTCCCGCGGCCCAAACAGAAGGGCGGGCGGGATGTGGAGGCCCGGGCGACTGTCCCTCTCCAGGCATCTGGACGCGCGGGGGCAGCCAGTGGGTGCGGAGGGGGTCCTTCGCGCCGCGGCCACAGAGTCACTTTCCCCCTGCAGCGAGCGACCTGGCAGAGGCTGCCCGCGAGCCACGGCGAAGGCTGCTCCGGCTCCGGGGCCGCCTCTGAAAGCGCCGCAGAAGCTGCCCGGGCCCCGGCGGCCAGCCCTGTGGGGGAGGGGAGGGGCTTGCAGCCGGAGACGGCAGAAACCCTGCAGTGACCTCGGTGGTCCGTGGAGGGAGGGGCAGGCCCGGCCGCCGGCACCCTTCGGGCTCGGGCCTCCGGGGACGCGGGAGGGGGCAGTGGAGCGCGCGCCCAGGGCGCCCGCGACCCCTGGCTTTCCTCTCTTCTTAACGAGTGGCAGGGAGAGGCCTAGAGGACGCCAGAGAAAGCCCGAAAGGGAGAGAAAGGGGGCGAGATGGCGAGCCAGGCTGAGCGCGCAGAGCCACTCTGCTCTCCGGTGATTCCAGGGAATTCGCGGCGCTGGCGCCAGGCGCTCTTAAGCATGTGCGTCAAAAATGCGAGGCTGGAAAAGCTCGTCGCCTCGCCAGTTCCGCCCCTCTCTGGGCGCAGTAGGCCCACCATGGACTGCGTTGGCACCTCCACACTCTCCCACTCCGGAGTGTGGGGCTGAGGGGTCCGCAGGACAAAGTGCAAGAGAGGGCCGTGCGGTCCCGGCGAGGAGACGTGCACCCGCGCGCCCAGCCTTGGGTTCCTGCCCCCCCAGCCCCCCACGTCAGTCCTGCTTCTCCCTTCCCTCTGCAGGGGGGAAGCTCTCCACTCAGGTGGGGTTGAGAGCTCCCTGCATCCAAGCAGGGCAGGCCCAACGCGTGCGTCCTGTCTCCCCCACCCCGAAAGCCAGACACGCGGGCTTGGGGACTCCTCAGACCCAGATCTGCGGTAACAGCCACCACTTCGGCGTCAGGTCTGAAGGGTCAGATCCGGTGGCCTTCCCGCCCCTTCGCCCTCTCAGAGGCCCCCACCCTACCTGAGCTGGAACCGGTCACCTCGCCCCGGGGCTGGGGGCGTTACACGGTTTGTTTTACAAATTCACCCCCGGCTTCTGGCGAGATAAGTCCCGGGGTGGAGAAAGAACTGAGGCAGCGAGAGATAAGTGCGATGCCTGGAGAAGATACCGGGCTGGCGCGCCTCCCCCCACCAGCTCGCCCACCCCTGACGCGCAGCGCGGCCCGGCTAGGTGAGGGCAGCGGCGTGGCGGGGCAGGCCCAGACCCTGCGCCTCTCCGACCTAGCTCACTTTTGATTTCCTCTCTTCCCTCTGCACTCACACGCGCTTTCAGGTGGACGACCCGGAGCCCGAATTCATAGGGATCAAAAGGGCGAGTGATCGCCTTCCAGAAAGCCCCCCCGCGCTGCGGGCAGGGTGGCGCGCGCAGGCAGTGTGCGTGTTTGCGTGTACGTGTGTTTCCGTGGGTGGCTGGATCCCGGGGTGCTGGCGCGTGCCGGCGTCCAGTCGTGGCGAGGGGCGTTTGGGCCTCGGCACGCGGCCCCGGGGCGCGGGGCGCGGGGCGCGGCGCACGCGCGCGTGGACCCCGATCGGGTGGCATCCGTGAGCGCGCGAGCCCAGGTGCGGGGGAGCCGGCGCCGAGCCCCGAGCTCGGGAGCCTTTGGCGGCGGCCGGGCGGAGCCTGGCTCCACGTGGGGCCGCAGAGCGCGCACGCCTGGAGCCGGGGCGCTCGCCGCGGCCGGCTTTTGTGGCGCCCAGAGGCCGAATGGCAGCTCGCGGGAGCCTCCGCCGTCCGCCTGGCTCGCCCCGGGCCGGGGCGAGAGGGTGAGCGGCACAGTGGCTCGGCCAGGGCGGCCGGAGAGGCGAGCGGAGCGCGCGAGAGGCGAGCGCCCCTGCCCGGCGCCGGGTGTGCTCTCCGCCCTGCGCGCCCGGCTGGCTGGCTGGCTGGCTCCCTCCTCCCCCTTCCTCCCGGCCCTGCCTCCTCCCTCGATCCGGGGCTGGATGACTGAGGCATTTCAGACGTGGGCAGAGCCAGAGCGAGCGAGCGCAGGGGCTGCGGCGATCTCTCGATAAGCCACCTAGAGGCGACTCGCTGCGCGCGCTCCCCAGTGGCTCCCCGCCCGCCCTCTGATCATGTTGACATATTCACAGGACAGGCAGTAGTACCGATGCGGCGCTGCGACGTTACAGTTTCCGACACCTTCTTTTTATAACTCGGCTCTATCCCCCAGCGCTCGACCTGTGAAAACCACGCCTATGAGCAACACAATTGGTCCGAAAGCGTCAAAGAGCCAATCAAGAGGCCTCCGGCTCCCCGCAGCCCACAGCAGAGCCCTACCTTCTAGAGCCGCCGAGCAGACGCCCGGGGAATTCTAGAGGCGGAGGAGGCTGGCGAGCAGCTCGCTCGCTTCCTCGCGCGCCCTCCCTCTCCCGCCCCGGCTCCTCGCTCCCTCCTTTGCGTTGCCCTCCTCGGCCCTCCCTGCCCTGCGCGTCGGGACGCAGATTTAGGAGGCGAATTCGCTCACGTTTTAGGACAAGGAAGAGGCGCAGGAGAAGAGCGCAGCCGGATTCGGATTGGACCCCAGGCACCCTCCGGAGCTCGGAGCAGAGGAAGGAGGCGCAGGGCGGACGGAAGCCAGGGCGCAGCTCAAGTTTTGATAGCGCTGCTGGAAGAGGGCTTGGAGCACAGCCCTTTTTTTTTTTTTTTTGTGCTCCCGGAGAGACTTTTCCGCTCCCCGGCTCGCTGCTGCTGGAGCCGAGTCTAGCGCAACTGCAGACGCCTCTGGCGAGCCAGGGGGCGAGGAGAGAGATAGGGGGGCGGGGGGCCCGAGAAGACTAGGGGGAAAGTGTCCTAGGAGAGCCGCGCGCTTTTGCTGCAGAGAGCTGGGGGCCGGGGGGCGAGTCCCGGGGCCCGGACTGCTGGAGTGTCTGTTTGGAGCGAAGCGCGGGGCTCCGGCGCGAGCCGAGACCCCGCCGGCGCCTCCCGCTTCGGAAACCGACTTCCAGGAGCGGCTTTTTAAAACCGCCAGGCGCCAGGACAGGCACCCCCCGACTATGTCTGCCGACTGCCCGCCTGGCCCTCTCTAGGAGCGGAATTTCCCGTTCCCCAGAGACACTCCGCGCCTTCCTTGAGGGTGCCGTGGTGGTGAATTTTTTCCTTTTTTTTCCTTTTTTGAAAAAAAAGTATGTGCTGCTGTTGAAAAGCAAACCACAACAACAAAACCAAACAGCAGCTGCGGACTCGTCCCCGGCCGGAGCCCAGCGCCCCGCCCGGAGTGGATGAGCCTCTCCATGAGAGATCCGGTCATTCCTGGGACGAGCATGGCCTACCACCCGTTCCTACCTCACCGGGCGCCGGACTTCGCCATGAGCGCGGTGCTGGGTCACCAGCCGCCCTTTTTCCCCGCGCTGACGCTGCCTCCCAACGGCGCGGCGGCGCTCTCGCTGCCCGGCGCCCTGGCCAAGCCGATCATGGATCAATTGGTGGGAGCCGCCGAGACGGGCATCCCCTTCTCGTCGCTGGGACCCCAGGCGCATCTGAGGCCTCTGAAGACCATGGAGCCCGAGGAAGAAGTCGAGGACGACCCCAAGGTGCACCTCGAGGCCAAAGAACTTTGGGATCAGTTCCACAAACGGGGCACAGAGATGGTCATTACCAAGTCGGGAAGGTAAGCCAGCGGCGAGAGGGCCGCTCCCCAAGCTCGCTGAGGTGTGTGCCCCCCCTGTGGTCTCTCTCCCCAACCCCCCACCTCCAGGACTGTGGTTTGTCAGTAATTTCGGCTCGCAGGAAAACTTAGCTCCCCTGGAACTGTGTGTAGGGACTGTCTGGCCCTGCCCGGGTGGCAGGAAATTTCAGCTCACCTGGGCATCTAGAGGCGGCAGCTTTTCCTGCCTAGGTCGGCATCCTGGGCTGCCTACAGGGGAGGTAGAATTTTTTAGTGTCTCTGCAGAGGAAAGCAAAGCACCCCACCGCAGGAAGCTCACTGTTCCAACCTTTCTGGGACAACCTTATTTCTTTGTTGTTGTGTTTTTGTCTGTTTCATTTCGGTCTCGGAGAGAGAAACTTCAAGCCTGCTCTTGGGCTTGCTGGTGGGAGAGCTGACAAACTCCCCTGCCCTCTCTGCCCTTCAGCCTTAGCCTCTGGGTCTGGAGGGGCCCCTGCCTGCCCAGGGCCAGGGTCAGAGAGAAACGGAAGGGCATTTGGGTTTGTTTGCCCACACCACTTCACGTGCCTGTGATCCCAGGGGCAGTTCAGGGGCAATTTTGGATAATTCAGATTATGGTCACAGATCCAAGGAACCACTGGGGAGACCCACGCTGCTTTGGAACGCGCGGATCTTAATAAGCGTATTTTACAGAATGCTCCGAGGTCCCTGCCTGATCAAAACCTGCCTGTCATTGAAAGTCGCTAAGTTTTAGGTTTCTGGCATTGAAGTCTCTCAAGGCATAAAGTTGGGAGAATTAAAATGAAACAATCCTCCCCGGTGCCTTTAGCTTTCTGTTTATTTCCGAGCGAAGGAGGCCACAAAATCCCCACACCCAGAAGACACCTAGTCAGTTTCCTTCTTAAGTCGGGGATAGAAGGACAACATTGCTGGAAAATAAACAGCCATGGGGTGCACAGGCTGGCAGTTCGGCTCTGGCCTGAGGAGTGGAGGGGATGTGGTTAGCAGCATGCCAGACAAATAGGTTATCAGGCCCCGGAGTCCACCCTAGTCTGCAGAATTCACTTGGAGAAGTCACCCAAGTCCAGTTTCATTTCGCCGGCAGCGGGATTGCGGGTCCACAGCGTGGAAGGGGGCTGCTGGGTGGTGGAAAATTCTAGCCTTGACTGACCACAGTTGACTAAAATCCTCCCTCAAACTGTATAGAACTGGGCACCCGCAGAAAAAGACCTAGGCGAGAATTTCTCTAGAAAGAGGACAATCTGTCGAGTAGGACAAGAGGAAAAGCATATTGAAAGAAATTATTAAACCGTAGAGAGAAATGTATCGCCGTGGTTGTTTTGACATTGGAGACACTTAAAGGTGGAGATATGGAGCAGATAGAAACTTCTCTGGTGAAAGGAACCAATGTTGTAGCCAGTTGCCCTCCTCTGAAATCTATCAGCTCATCCATCACAATAGAAAGTTTAAAATTGAGCTCAACGTTTTCGGATAAGTAGGGACTCCAACCCAACATTCCGAGTGATTTTCTGTTTTCCTTTTCTCTCCTCTTGTAGGCGAATGTTCCCTCCATTTAAAGTAAGATGTTCTGGGCTTGATAAAAAAGCCAAATATATTTTGTTGATGGACATTATAGCTGCTGATGACTGTCGATATAAATTTCACAATTCTCGGTGGATGGTGGCGGGTAAGGCTGATCCTGAAATGCCAAAGAGAATGTACATTCACCCGGACAGCCCTGCTACCGGGGAACAGTGGATGTCCAAAGTTGTCACTTTCCACAAACTGAAACTCACCAACAACATTTCGGACAAACACGGATTTGTAAGTTTCATTCCTCTCAAGTAAAATCTCCTTTCTCCATGTTAGCAAAGGCACCGCTGCCCCATTTCACGTAAAATTGTGAGTTTCTTGCTCAGCCTTCGCCTCTCCCTCTGTGGCCAAGCGTAGCAAACTTGTTCAATCAGCCACAGAGCCAGAGAGGATTTTCTTCGGGTAATGGAAGGCCTGGCCTTCTGAAAGCCACGGGGACAAGAAACTTCCCCAGCTCCTGCTCTGTGGCAATCCCAAGGCCCCTGGTTAATGCCCCAGGTGACAGTGAAGTTAAAAGCCAATCGTGGGGAGAGAAAATCAGTTTTCAGAGTTATTTGCTCCTAAAGGATTGGCTTTGTTTTAGGATCTCATATCTCTATTTTGAAACCTGCCATATAATTTCCCGGGAGAGCTGACGGTGCGAACTCTTGACTTCACCCGGGTTAAAGGGTGCGGATACTTTTGTTTGGGGAATGTAGTTTTTTCCTTTTACTTAAGCAGATTGGGGACGGGAACCAGTCAGGTTTACTAGCGGACGAGATGTAGATATGGGGTGCGAAAATCTGTGTGTGCGCGCGCGTGTGTTGGGAGTATACGTGGATCCAGTGGGCGCCAGCTCACAAACTTTGAGAAGACTTGGCTCACTTGTAAAAGTCACGCAAGGGACCTTTTGCCCCTGCCTCTACCCCTCCCCAACATTTCAATAAAATAAACAGAGTGATAAGCGAGGAATAAGCAGAAAGATTAGGCCCAGGAAGACGCGAATGGCTTGGAAATATCTTCAGCGGGCAGGGATTGCATGTGAAGCCTTGATTTGATTAAGGCATAAATATTCCTCTCTAGAGTTCAGCCTCTCAGGGCTTTAAGTGGATTGGGCTCGTCAATTAGTGGGCGCTTAAAGGACTGAATCATTTTGTAAATTAAAATGCATGTTTTTCTCTATCTTTTAAGACTTTGGCCTTCCCAAGTGATCACGCAACGTGGCAGGGGAATTATAGTTTTGGTACTCAGGTAGGCTAGGGTTCAAGGTACGAATGAACCTTAGATGGTGAGGGTGGGGGGACCCTGTGGAAACTGAGGAGCAATTTGGACTCTCCGGAACAGAACGGCTGTGGAGCAGAATGGCCCCTAAGCGGTGCCCTGCGGAGGTGGGCCTGTCCGAGTGAGGTCCCTTGTGGTGGGGTAGATGGCAGCCCGGCAGGGGTCCCGAGAGCGCGTTTGTCTTGCTGAAGCCTTTGCTTTCTGTGTCTCTGCTCCTCCCCGCCCCTGCAGACCATACTGAACTCCATGCACAAATACCAGCCCCGGTTCCACATCGTGCGGGCCAATGACATCTTGAAACTTCCTTATAGTACATTTCGGACATACTTGTTCCCCGAAACCGAATTCATCGCTGTGACGGCATACCAAAATGATAAGGTAACCAGAGGCGCTCTTTTCCCCGCGGTGCTACGCTGATTTGGGTGAGGATAAGAAAGTTACCAGTGGATTAGGCTGAGAATCTGAGTTGTTTTGGGGATCTGACTTAAGTGGGGTTTCTGGGGGAAAAGGGGTGCTGGCACATGGTGGGGGGGAGGACTTGACCTGTTAAGACTCCATTGCAGAGTGAAGAAAGGGTGACCGTCCTCTGCCTGGGAGACAGCTCTCTAACCCAGTGCCACGCACCCCTAGTTTTCTCCTACTTATTCATTATCCTCCCGTTCAGGAAGGAGAACCAAGAACCAAGTTCCAACAGAACTAGCTAAAAATTAAAGGCAAAAACCATCCGGGATCCTGGGAGGAGAATCCCAGTGGAGACCAGCTTTTCTCCCCTAGCCAGAAATCCCGAATAGCTGGTCTGGTTTTTATTACCTTTTATGCTGCTGTGTTTTTTATGGGGTGTGTGTGTGTGTGTGTGTGTGTGTGTGGTGTGTGTGTGTGTGTGTGGTGTGTGTGTGTGTGTGTGTTTGAAAAACGTACTCTGATCACAGGGTCATGCTGATCGAGTTGTCTGAGGCTTCTGAGATGCGGTGACCCAAGTCGCCACTTTATTTGAAGTTTTTATTCTCCCTTGGGGCTGAGGCTGGGGATTAGGAACACCCCCAAATGACACAGCAGGCAGCACCTGATATGTAAAGTTATCACCATGGCCCGAAGGAAGGTCATGGGCACTGAGCACAGAAACAGAGAAAGTGACTCTTGCTGCTGACTCTCCAGTCCCTGGATCTTAGCAGCAGTTATGGGGTAGGGGAGCAAGGAGGACCCCTGTTCTTTAACTTCTGAACTCTGGCCCTCTGTTAGAGTCCAGTTCACGGGACAACACCTTGTTTTCTGAATTCATTATCCCTATGGGTGGATCCTCTGTGTCCAGCCGATGGGCAGGTTCCAAGCCTGTCACCTTAGTCTGGAGACCAAGACCTGAGGTCGTGGTCTCTTTGCAAGTTTCCATAAAGGAATTTACTCCAAAAACAAGAATCCAACCAAGTGGCCCTCTCTCCAACTCAGAGCAATTGTGTATATCACCCCACCCCAAGGGATTTGAAAAATTATATACTGCGGCATTTTTTTTTTCCCTCAGCATGCTCCATGCATGCTCCCGCTGGACCCAGAATCCCATGACTCTAAGTTGTTAATGTAATAATAAAATGTAGCATTTTTGATCAGACAAAGAGGTCAAGGGCCTTCTCCACCTCGTGGCAGTGGCAGAGCATATAAATGAAAACAAATGTTCCCAGTGGTCAGTCAGTCCTTTTAAATCTGTAATTGTCAATATTGTAATTCCTCAAACACCCCCCACCCCCAAGCAAAAAAAAAAAAAAAAATCAAACCCACTCCAGCATCAGGGTAGTGAAATCCCATAAATCATTTTATTAGATTCACAGAAAAGGTTGGAGTGTGTGCAGTGTGTGTGTGTTTGGGGGCAGGAAATATGCTATAACATATTTTATGATTAATTGCACTTTATAAAAAATCAAAATGAAAGCATAATTCTAAGCTCTACACTGTATACCTGAAACTAATATAAAGTTGTGTGTCAATTATACTCCAATAAAAAAAATACTATAGGTCTTCCCTTTGACAACTTTTCCATTTCTAAGCCCAAGCTGTCAGCTGCCTGGAGAAAAAGACATTTCCCAGGTGGGATTATTTCAACCTAGAATCCCTGGTGTGGCCTCCGGTGGGAGACGCAAGACAGTTCAGCTTCCTTGGATTCTTCTAGGTCCCTTCCAAACTTCTGCTGCTACCCTGTTTCTTAGGCCCTAACTTAGCATATGCAAATTTCTGATGAACTGTGGAGTGTGGGGGGGGGAGACGCCCCTAAAACATCCTAGAATATGAGGCCAATGTTTTCTTGCTTGTGTTTTCTCCCCTAGATAACTCAGTTAAAAATAGACAACAACCCATTTGCAAAAGGTTTCCGGGACACTGGAAATGGCAGGAGAGAAAAGAGGTGAGCTGAGATGGTTGTTTCTTTCCTAGACAATTTAGAGAACACTGCCCTAGGTCCTTCCATTGAGAAAGGGGATGGAGAGGGTGGAAAATAATCCCCCCCACCCTGCCTCACACTTGGATTTTCAGCCCACTGAACTGTTTTCTCCTTCCTGCATGTGACCTTAAAGGATATTAACTAGGCCTCATCATAGGCCTCTTTGCAAGAAAAGCATCAAGGACAACATTATATACAGGCTCCTATTAATTCCTAATTAATTTAGGCTCATCCTGGGCAAGTCCAGGAAGGGACCGAACCATTCACAAAATGCTTTGGAATTTTTGCAATCTTGTCTTGCAAATACCAACAGACAGAACTGAGGCCCCTTGAGAAATCGATGGCTCCCTCCATACATGGGTACATGTATCATTTTGCATTAAGCAGACAGCTGGATAGTATATGAAAGAAGCCCCCCCTCCCCCACCCGCCTTCAAAGAATTTCTAAAATCCAGAAAATCACCCCCAAATTTCTAACCCATCCCCTTGGGGAAGGGATGGGCATTAAAAATCATTCCTAACATCTAAATAGATTTTTTTTTGACTCTGATTAATGTGTTGATGAAACGATTACTGTAAAGTGCACCATGAAATAAGCACTTCCTCCCAACCTTAACAACCAGTCAGGAGTCTGTAGGCTGTCTGTGTTCACCCTTTGGGTACCCAGTTCCCCTCCCGCTGTCAGGCTGGCTGTTCAGCTGTCTCTGGCCAGCTCCAGCCTTTCCTGTTGGTTCTCGCTCTTCAGCAAGATTTCTTCACAGCTCCAGCCCATGCCTTTCCCTAATGAAACCCTGATCTTGAATAAATGCAATCCACGTCTCCCTCCACCCCCAATCTGCAACCCAGTTAGGGGTTCGAGAACAATGCCTGGGTCTGTGTGTGGCTGCCACGGGGCAGGCAGGTTCCAGAGAATGTGTGCTGCCCGTGGGTGGCAGGCAGGATGAGGTGTGAGCCTCTCTGGAGAGGGCGAGGCAGGCGGGCGACGTGGAGAGATGTCCTTTCTGTAACGCCGGGTGTGGGCTTCTGCCACAGAAAGCAGCTCACCCTGCAGTCCATGAGGGTGTTCGATGACAGACATAAAAAGGAGAATGGCACCTCAGATGAGTCCTCCAGCGAACAGGCCGCCTTCAACTGCTTCGCCCAGTCCTCGTCCCCAGCTGTCTCCACTGTGGGGACGTCCAACCTCAAAGGTGAGCCTGGGGCCCTGGAGTTCTGCACTCCCTGTCTTGGAGACCTGGAAGAGTTGGGGGCAGTGGGGGGAGACCCACCAGGGAACTTGGCCTTCCAAAGCCACAGACTTTTCTAGAAGTCTGTAAACAGGAGTCAGCGTTCAAAAGGATGAGCAGTTGTGACCCCCTCCCTAAGCTGTTTTGGAGAGCTCAGACCTGCTCCCCACAAACCTGCATTTGGCTGGAGGGTAGGGAGGGGTGTCTGTGTTTTCCCTCTCTGTGTGTGTGTGTGGAGCAGCTTTGAAAAATGCCTTTCCTCTTCCTCTACAACCAAACTTCTCACCATCTTTGCCTTCTAGGTTGAAATGTGTTAGGCTGGGGCAGGCCAGGGACTCTCTGCCACCTGGAACAGGGAAGGTGGCCCATAAAACATCCAGCTATAGAACATCCACTGACCTGTGGGAGCAGAGGCAGCCCCCGGGGATCTTGGGGGGGTGGGGGGAGGGGAGGGGACTAGCTGGTTCAAATCCCCAGTCGGTTTCCTGTGTTTAAAGAGCAAGAACTATTTATTTGGAAAGACACACTAACGGGAAGAAACCTGTTTTGTAAGTGAAATAAAATGAAAGCCCTTTATGTCTTCCGTCCATTTAAGCTTTAAACGTAAAATAGGACCCCCTTTTATTTTTTTTTTTTTCTGGGAGGACACACACAGAGGTTGTGGTGACAGCAAGACAGTGGGATGGCCCGGGCAGTGGGCAGGCTGCCCCTCTCGGGTCTGGGCTGCTGGGCAGGCGCAGGCAGGCTGGGTGAGTGTGTGCGGGGCAGGGTGTTCCTCTCTGCCCTGACCCATTCAGCCCCGGGAGTTCTCTGCAAACAAATCCTTCCTGAAAGAATTCACAAATTGGAAGGTGCGGAGCTCCATCCCTCCCTAAACAAAGACTCCGAGTAACGGGAAGGTGATTTTCAGAGTCAATTTTAAATCTTTAAAAGAGCGCATTTGCAATTGAATGGGAAAAGGCGAGTCAAGGCTTTGGCAGCCCCAGAAGTTGAATGCAGGCTTGCAAAACACCGTAAAATTCATTAGAACGAAAAGCTGCGCCGGGGAGCCTGGAGGGGAGGGGCTCGGCTCCATCTACATACTTTAAATTCATGCCTAGCTGGTGGAATCCTTCCACTAAAGCTGGGAGGGCCACCACTCCTCCCATTTTGCGGATGAGAAAACTGAGGCACAGAGAGGGTGAGGGGCTTCCCCGGGGCCACACAGCCACTCAGTCCCGGAGCTGGGGTTCCAGCCGGGGGGCCTGGAGCGGGGCGGGCGGCATGGACGCTCACGCCCGTGCGCCCCGCTTGTGTCTCCCGCCCGCGGCAGATCTGTGCCCCAGCGAGGGGGAGAGCGACGCGGAGGCCGACAGCAAGGAGGAGCCCGGCCCCGAGGCCTGCGAGGCGGCCAAGATCTCCACCACCACGTCGGAGGACCCGAGCCGCGACAAGGGCAGCCCCGCGGCCAAGGCGCACCTCTTCGCGGCCGAGCCCGGCGGCCGGCCCCGGGACGGCGCGCGGCTGGACAAGGCGTCGCCCGACTCGCGCCACAGCCCGGCCACCATCTCGTCCAGCACGCGCGGCCTGGGCGCCGACGAGCGCCGGAGCCCGGGCCGGGAGGGCGCCGCCGCGGCCAAGGCGGAGGAGGCGCGCGCGCTGCCGGCCAAGGAGGCCTTCGCGCCGCTCTCGGTGCAGACCGACGCGGCCGCCGCGCACCTGGGCCAGGGCCCCCTGCCGGGCCTCGGCTTCGCGCCCGGCCTGGCCGGCCAGCAGTTCTTCAACGGGCACCCGCTCTTCCTGCACCCCGGCCAGTTCGCCATGGGGGGCGCCTTCTCCAGCATGGCGGCGGGCATGGGGCCCCTGCTGGCCACCGTGTCCGGGGCCTCCACCGGGGTCTCCGGCCTGGATTCCACCGCCATGGCCTCGGCCGCCGCGGCGCAGGGACTGTCGGGGGCGTCGGCGGCCACGCTGCCCTTCCACCTCCAGCAGCACGTCCTGGCCTCGCAGGTACGCGCGCCCCCCCCCCGCCCCCCGCCCCCCCCCCCGCGCTCCCGCGCGCTCGGTTTCCCCGACGCTCCCCCTGGTAGCTTTAAGCGATGATGACCATGGTGATGAGGAAAATGTATTTCTAGGTGCAAGGCTTGTGCTTCCACGCTTATAACCTCACAGCCCCTCCCCGCCCCCCCCCAAAAAAAAAAAACCTTATAAAAAACATTTCTTCTCCTAAGAGCTGTGTCTAGCAGAGTAATAAGGATAATAACCTCACAGGGCACTTTATGCCAGGGGCTCTTCTGATTACTTGGTCTGTTCTGACTTCAGTGCTGCAGTGGTCACCTCCACTCTGTAGAGGAAAGGCGGAGGCTCAGAGATGTTGAGTAACTTTTCCCAGGTCACACAGCTGGGAAGCAGTGGAGCAGACCCTATTCCAGACGCTCCGCCTCCAGGGCCTCTGGATGAAATAGCTCTGAACTGTCTTGGAGCCATCTCTCCCCCAGGGATTAGACAAGGTGGAGACCTTGGCTTCAGGGGTGGGGGAGTGGTTCCTGGGTGGGAGCGCAATCTTACATCTTCCAGGCTTTCCTCCCAGCCAGTTGCTGCTGCAAGGGTTAATGGTTGATGCACAAGTGCAAAATGTCAGCGCCCAGGGACTGGCCAGGGCCGTGGCAGGCCTGGAGGCTCTTGTGTGGTTCAGACAGCTGTGCTGGGGCCCAGGGCAGCTGGGGAGCTGTCTCAGACCCCGAAAACACTGAACCCAGCGAGAAGGTTCTGTGGGTTTTTCTGCAGGCCTTTTGTTTTGGCTGAGCACATTCGTCTCGTCTCCCTTGCCTGAGCCAAGAGGCTGGGGTGGCCTCCCCCCTTCATGGAGGAGGGGACTGAGCAAGGGTTAGCTTCTGCCCTTCCCTCCCATCCCCTCTGCTGGACACCCTGACATGGGCAGGCAGGTGATAGAGAGGCGGGAAAATTAGTCCTAAGGATACCCAAGAAAGGTGCATAGAGAACTGGCCCAGGTCAGGGTCCCTGGATTTAAATTCTGCTTCTGCTGCTTACTAGCCGGGTGACTTCCCGTGCTCAGAGGACCTACCTCCAGCTCTCCACCTGTGACACAGTGTATCAGGCTAGGTGATCAGTCTCTGCCAGTACCTCTTTATTTCATCTCCCACCCCTCTCCTTTTGCTTAAGGGTCATCCCTAGATTTTTTTTTTTTTATTTCACTTGAGAAACTTCTAGAAGTGGGAGGGTTGAGGGCACAAACTGTATGTGTAATAATCTACACCTCTGGTTTGCTTGCAGCTACCTCTGGGGTAGCCTGAGCCTGGAGCCCCACTTCACAGATGTGGCAGCTGATCCGGCTGGGGAGCTTCTAGCAGTCCAGGGCCAGGTGCCCCTGTAGCAAGCATAGTGCAGGCATGCCTGCCCTTAACAGCCCCAACACCCCAACAAGTATGTGGGTGATGCAATATTTCCCTGCTTTTTTCATATAAGAAAGTGAGCGGCAGGAAGTGCAGAGCCTGGGCTAGGGGTCACACCGTCAGGATTTGGTCCCAGAGAAGGAAGTCTGCGTGCCCCCCCCTCGGTGCCCCTCCCCTCCCCCCAGGCGTGAGATAGCGACCTGCTGGCAGGCCCCCTCGGGGTGGCTCCTCCCCACCTGCCTTCCCTCCCCGGCTCACCCTCCTGCGCTTCTCTTCTTTCCCCAGGGCCTGGCCATGTCGCCCTTCGGGAGCCTGTTCCCGTACCCCTACACCTATATGGCCGCGGCGGCGGCCGCCTCGTCGGCCGCGGCGTCCAGCTCCGTGCATCGCCACCCGTTCCTCAACCTGAACACCATGCGCCCGCGGCTGCGCTACAGCCCCTACTCCATCCCCGTGCCGGTCCCCGACAGCAGCAGCCTGCTCACCACCGCCCTGCCCGCCATGGCCACGGCCGCCGGGCCCCTGGACGGCAAAGCCGCAGCCCTGGCCGCCAGCCCGGCCTCGGTGGCGGTGGACTCGGGCTCGGAACTCAACAGCCGCTCGTCCACGCTCTCCTCCAGCTCCGTGTCCTTGTCGCCCAAACTCTGCCCAGAGAAAGAGGCGGCCACCAGCGAACTGCAGAGCATCCAGCGGCTGGTCAGCGGCCTGGAAGCCAAGCCGGACAGGTCCCGCAGCGCGTCCCCCTAAGCCCCTCCCCAGAAAAGTCTCTTCATTCCAGCCCAGCCCAGTCTGCAGTGCACTTTGTCGGATGTGAAATGAACCACAGGCGCGCAGTCCTGTCTGGGGAGGGGCGCCGGACTCCCTCGAGAGAATGTGCTAGAAAAAAGGCTCCTCTCCTTGGTGCGGTTTATCTTTGGGGAATCTGGCTCAGATTCTGGGGGCTCAGATGCTCCCCGGGGCATGGATTTCGTGGGGGTGGGAGTTAGGCGGTGGTGTCCAGAGCGCCTTCCAGCCAGACTGGCCTGGGAGCTGCGACCGAAGGAAAAAGTAGCCAGGCCCCTGGGGAGGGGAGGTGTTGAAGGCTTCTCCCCCAGTGCAGATTTATATATATATATATATATTTTTTTTTTTTTCCTTCACCGTGTCAAGTGGAAACAGAAACAAAATTAAAAAAAAAAATCCTGGGGACAAACGAATACAATGAACACGATTCTGTGCGTGAAGATTGAAAACTTTATGGTGACTTGCCTATCAGTTGGAAGGAAATTACCAAGCAGCATTGTTTGGGGGAGGGAAGCCGCTGCCATCCTTGTTTAATCTCTATTAAGGAAATCTGTGTCTTTTTAATATTCTTGTGATGTTTTAAGAGCCGCTATAGGTCTCTTCTTGCATGTTCCACAGTAATGTATTTGTGGTTTTTATTTTGAATGCTTGCTTTTAGAGAGAAAAGAACATGACCCCACCCCTTTCCCCAATTCTCTACCCTCAAATAGACCACCCCCAGCTGGGGGGAGGGGGATTAAAAAAGGGATGGGGAAAAACACCAAAAAAATGAATTTATTTTATCTGAGCTCTGTAGCAGATTCACGTCGCCCTTTCTGGCAGTTCTTTCTCTTTCCTGTATATGCAATAACAAGGTTTTAAAAAAATAATAAAGAAGAAGCGAGACTATTAGACAAAGTATTTATGTAATTATTTGATAACTCTTGTAAATAGGTGGAATATGAATGCTCAGAAAATTAAACTTTAATTTATTGACATTGTACATAGCTCTATGTAAATAGGATCGCAGCTTGTCGGGTTCTGCATTTTTGTTTTCCTTTTAGTAGGTTTTATTGCAAGGTCACAGGATTGCTTTTAAAACTAGAAAACACATTTAATGCACCAACACCAACACACTCAAATGAGTCGTCTGCAAAAAAAAAAAAACCTTTTCGTTTTCTTTTTTAATGTCCAAGAGTGGGGGAAAGTGCCATGGTATCTATGTTACCCAAAATTGGGGGGGAGGTGATGTCACCTCCCAGCTCAACGTTAAATTCCTTAAAATGTAACACCCTAGGAGTGGTTCTGTGATTGCTTGGGGTGGGGGTGGGGCTGGGGTGGGGGTGGGCAATGCAGAGGCTGTGGTTTGACTTTCTAATTTTTCTTTTGTATTTGTACTTGCTAGTCTGATTTCTTCAAAACGAAGTGGAATTTACTACTGTCTTCACTATTGATGGTGTTTTGAATTGGTGCCTATAGAGAGATATTCACAGTTCAAAAGTCAGGTGCTGAGAGATGGTTTAAAGACAATTCATGAAGGTATATTTTGTGTTATAATTGTTGATAAGTTTTTTGGTTTTCTGTATTTCCCCCCCTCTCTTTAAAAGATTGAAATTTCAATAAATTTTTATTGAAATTCTTTGGGCCTCGTGTTCAGTGCTTCCTTTAGGAAACCTGCAGATGCCGGCTCTTCCTTTTGCTCCTGCACCCACTCCCCTTTGCCTTTAAATAACTGAGACCGCCCCCCCTGAAGCAAAATGAGATGTCACTCAAGTTACAAAGCTAAAAACAAAAGTCCCTGACTCCAGCGGGCCAAGGCAGCCGCTTCAATCTGAAATTGCTTTTCCTTTAAATTAGGGAGCAAAATAGAACAGCAATTTCGGATACTTAAATTTTAATGGAAAAAGAATGCTCCGCGCCTGAAGTCGGTTTTTTCCCACACCAAACCCACCAAAAATAAGTTTGAAGACTGCCAGCATTTTCGTTTCGGGCTGGCTCTCCCTTTTCACGTGGATCTGGGAAATCCAAATCAAAAATAACTGCTTGCACCCACCAGGGTGTAAGAAAAACCAAAAACAAAACAAAAAAAACTGGCAGATTCTCCTCGCTGCGGGGCCGGACCAGGCCAGGAGCAACAGTCTAGATTGTAGAAGTGGGCGCGCTCGGAGCTCCCCCAAAGTCCCTGGTGTCTCCCGTGGGACCTGGCGAGCCCAGGGCGCCCCACGAGGCCCCATCCCGAGCGAGCGTGGGAAGCGCCGCAGCCCGCGCGCCCCTGGCCGTGTCACGCGAGCTGGAGGGAAGTTTTCTCCTAAGGGAAAGGCAAATCCGGGGCGCTGAGTTGACCCCCTGCAAAGGGAAAAGTCACCCAGGAGGCTGACACCCTCCTTCTCGCTCCCCTGCAACCAGCCTCCAGGCTGTTTGGGGAGCTGCCTTTTGAAGTTCAATTTATCTTTGAAACATTCAATAAAAAATGGTGAGGCCGTGACAGTCGGGTTTTTTTTTTTTTTGTCTCCAGGTCTCCCCACCCCCAGCCTTGCCTCGGAGGGGTGTGTGTGTGTGTTGGAGAGGGGGGGGTCGGGCGGGGCGAGAAGGTTCTCGAGGGTGAGTCCACCGGCCTTTTCTTGCCCTGGGGGCCAAGACGTGAGGACACAGCCGGAGCCTGCCTGGCGGCTGCCGGCCCCCCGCCCCCTCCCTGGAGCCCGCCAGCCCGGCCCCAAGTCCCTGTCACCTTCGGGCCTCTTGAATGGCCGGCGTGGAGGACCCTCCCCTCCCTCACGCTGTCCTTGCAAGGGGATCGAGGTCGAGACCTTTTGGAGAGCCGGGCAAAAGCCCTGCCTTCTCCCGCCAGGCACGTGGGGGACCCCGCGGCCTCCCCTGCGCAGCCTCGGGGAGTGGGAGGGGAGTCATCCAGGGTGTGGGGGCGAGGAGGGCGAGAGGAATTGGGGACCTCAGCGGCGGGAGCGCCCCAGGAGGGCCTGGGGATTTCCAAGGCGCGCGCCCTGGGCCCAGCGGGAGCTGCAGCGGGGCGGGTCCCCGGCCGGGCCGTGCCCGGGACGCGCGGTTCGGGCGCCCCGGGAAGGGAGTTGGCTGGTGGGGCCTCCCCACGCGGGGACCTCGGCCCCCCAGAGGGAAGGAATGCATTGCTTTTGCAGCCCGCTTGGCTCGCGGCCCCCACCCCACCCCCAGCGCTCGGACCGTGTTCTGATGTGCGTCCAGCCTCTCCCACGGCTGGCCCTTTTTTTAATCTCCTGCGTATCTTGTTTGTATATAGTGATGTTAATGAGTAACTCTTGTGGCGCTGATGGACGGGGGTGAACCGCTCGCAATCTCTCTGGATTTCGCTGCCTATTACTCACCTGGCGCCGGGCGCAATCCCGCCGCGGGCTTTATGGTGGCGGCCGCCGCGGAGGCCACTCCGGGCCGGCGCCTTCGCCTTTTTTCCGGGCTTCGAGTGCCACCTATCTGTCTGGCCCACGAATGCGCCCGGGCCGCCGCCGCTTGGGCACCCCAGCGCCTCCCGGGCCCGGGAACCTGGGCGCCGCACCTTTGCCCCCTTCTCTGGCGGCCCCTGGTCGGCGCCCCCGACCTGCCCCCCCAGCCCCCCGCCCCCGTCGGAAGAGGCGCCCCTGGTCTCTTTCCTGGATATCACTTTCACTCCCCTTTGGGCCCCAGATGAGAAAAACAGCCCTTCCCGCCTCGGGGTTTCCAAAGCGCGTTCAGAAATTCAGCCAGGGGACCCTCGCTCAAAGTGTTCTCTCCAAGTCCCTCGCTGCTCGCCTCGGGAGCCTCCAGCAGCTCCCCCGACCCTCGGCAGGAGCCCCCGACCCTCGGCAGGAGCCGCCCGGGCTGGGTAGATGGGTAGACACAGGGGAAGGATCCCCAGCTGCGCGCAGCACACACCGCTCCAAGCCGGCCCGGGCTGCAGTGCCCTTCGCCGGGACGCTCTTTTTCTCGTTTTATAACTCAGGGATTTTCGGGTTTTATACTGTCCCGTCTACAGGGACAAAGGCCGCGGCTCGCGGGAGCAGCGAGGGCCCTGCCGGGCCAGGCCGAGCGCCGCGGTGGTGTGTAGAGTCCGGGCGGCGCGCGCGGGCCTGAGTCCTCGGGCCCTCGCCCCTCGGGAAGGCGGGTCGGAGCCCGGCTGCGCCCCGGCGTCTGCGCTCCGCCGAGGGGCCGGGGGTGGGGTCGCCTGGTGCTGGGCTTTGAGCGGCGGCCAGCGGCGTCCGCGTTCCTGCTGACCCCGCGGCGCTAATTGCCCGGGCCGAAGGGCGCGCTCTGGCAGCGGCCGGGGTCACGACCTGGCTCCCTCCCCCCGCAACCCCAAGGGAGCGCGGTGTGTGCACGCGGGCGAGTGTGTGTGTGCGTGTGTGGGGGGGGGGGGGAGAGAGAGAGAAAAAGAGAGAGAGAGACCAGCCTCCCTCTGGATCTGCGCTGTCTGGGAACCCACCCTTCACTTGTGGGGCAAGTTCCCGGCGCTTAGGCCCTTAAAAAAAATCTCACCCAAGAAGGAAAATCCTGCTTCTGACCTTTCCCCTAAGCCAGCAGACAGGCAGCCGCCTTCGGGCGGGCGCGGCGAGGCTTGAAACGCTTCGCATCCGCGCGCTTTCTGCCTCGCTGGTTTCCAAATCTCTGACCCCACCGCAACCAGCCAGGAGGGAGGCTATTGGGGTGTAGCTGCGAAGCCGGGAGCCGCGCCCCAGGCTCTGATCTGCCGAGCGGGAACGGCTCTCCCCAGGGTGGCTCGGGGCTGCTCGCGCCCCCGGGACGCCCCCGCAGGTGCGCGCAGGGGATGCGTTGCGCTCGCGCGCGCTGCGCCCGTGGATGCCTCTTTCAATTTGGAATCAGACGTTCCTGCGCGAGAGAGTTCCGGATGTAGATGCTTTGGGTTGTTTTATAATCAAGATGCGTATAATCAAGATGTATATGTTGCAGATGTGGGCGTTCAAAGTCCACAGAACAACTGTAATAAAAATAGCTGGCAGAGCCGGGGCACGTGCCCGCGCCAGGCACCGGCTGAAACACCCCACAAAAGCGATCGCCTTTGATCCTCGCAATGAACCCTGTCAGGGTGCCACCGCGGGTGTACCGAGGAGGAGACTGCGGCCAGGACAGTGAGGCCACTTACCCGCGCTCACCCCGGCAACTGTGGCTCGCGGTTTCGAGGGGAAGTGGGCTCCAGAGTCCCCTCCAAACGCGCTCCCTGATTCCTTGGCGGTGTGCGAACCCTGCAGCGCCCGGACTCGGGCGCTGAGGTGGGTGCAGAGGTGCAGAGAACCCGCCGGTGTGCTTCGGAGGGTGGAGGGTGTCTCACGTGCTTTTCCTATGGGGACATGGCACTTTCTGCAGGCGTCGGTGGTGAGCGGGAAAGCGCGGCTCTCTTTGGGCGGCCCACCCTCCCCTGCCCCGCGCAGGACCCGGCGGGGGCCAAGACCGCCAGCTGGGGCCTTTTGTCCACAGGCTGAGAAAGAGAGAGGTGAACTGGGGCACGGAAACCCCCAGGAGCAGATGCCTGTTCCCGTGGGGAAAGGTGTCCCGGGAGAGGGAATCACAACAGCGCCAGGGCGCAGGGCACCGCTGCGCCTCTGAGGTCCCTGTCCCAGGGGTCTCGGAGCGCAGCGTGGGGCATTGGCGTCTCTGGGTCCCCCCCACGATTCCCCCACCCACCGGTCGCTGCCTCCCTCAGCTTTGCGCAGCCACAGCGGCCCAGGCGGGAGGCAGGGACCGCAAGTGGGGACTCCTCCCGCCCACGGACCTTTTGCACGTTCCTGTTAGCCTCTGCCCAGCTTCCAGGCACCCAGACAGATCTGGTTTTGTCCTGCCCTCTTACTCCCAACGCAGCCACAGCTGGGAGCAGAGGCTTGGGCTAATGAAGAGAGAGTTTCTAAGGCAGAGGAGAAGGGGCCCACCGTAAAAGGGGTGCCTGGTGAATGGGGGGAGCCAGGCTCCCAGGGCCAGGGTCACTGTAGGCCCCACACACCTAGAGAGCCAAGGCGGGTCTGGCTGCAGGCCGGGCGGGAGGGAAGCCACACACGCCCAGGGTAGGGGCAGCAACTCCAGTTTCCTGCAGCGGAATCGCCAGGTGCTTTCCATCCTGCTGGGGTGGAACTGTGTGCAGCTTGGACGCGCTGGGGGGTGGGGTGGCTGGGGAGGGGGCATGGGCACTATTGGAGCCGCTCCCTGTCCTCTCTCACCCCAGTTCCCAGAGCCGGGTCAGCCCGTCTAGTGGAGCTTTTGAAACGCGATCCCCACACCTCAGCACTTCCAGCTCGGGTTAATCACTGGGGCTCTGGTTTCGGGTTGGGGAATGACACCCACAG